ACCTAATCTGTAGATTGATGGAAAGCATGAACTCCATGGCCCCGAATTAGAGTGCTACTGTTGTTGGAATTTTGAGCAAACTTATTGGAGGTCGTTTTATTCTCTGATGATTATTCATGTCTCTACAAATCCAGAATCATGTAAATGATCTTGCGAACGCCGNCTACTTCGCTTAGCACATCGTGAGTGGTATCAGTTTGGACACCTGCAATGACCGAAGAGCGTGGCATCTGCTTGTTAGAATCGAACTTGTGTGCAAACAGATCACTGATTCAAGCACTTCGATTGATTTGACACAATGTGTGAAATTGGACGAGATTCAATGTCATTACGATTCTCATCGTAAACAGCATAAACGATGTTGTAACCGCACAGAATTATCCCGATACTAGATTCCCAAATGATCTTCTCGTCCAGATAGTGGCACCACAGGTAATGAAAAAGAACATAGCTGGAAGCGTGTTTGGATTCATTTATTATGCAGAAAGCATGGTTATTTATAGGGAAAAGGGGGACATGTAAACATATATCAAACGATTGCTTGACTGGATTGTTACAAGCCGTCCTGATTGGTTGGCGGTTCCGACCAATCACCTGAGTTTGGCTATCTTTATTTCAGAACAAATCAATTCTCAGGTGAAATGCTGTCTTCCCGACAAACGAAACTTTAACTAAAAAGCTTTCAAGCACCGTTTCACAAAGTCGAAACAGCTGCATTACATAACCTCCCGTCCCACCGTCGTCCATTTTTGATGCACTGCTCAATCTATTCCACCTGTGAACGATACACGATACGAGGATGCATTGGACAACTGAACTATTGCAACATATGTTGGACACCAAGCAATTCACTGACAGCAACTAACCACAGTCCATCAAGTGGGTAATACGCTTGCATTCTAACTGTGAATTCAGGGTTCGATCCTCAATTGAGTTAAAGGAGTCGCTGGTCGCTGGTGTGACTCAATCAGGTTGAAACATCTCTGTGGCTACCAAACTCCTCGCGCAGGAGGAATGACTCCTTCACTACTCATTTTTAATTTGCAAAATGTTGTTTTAAAAATGATTATTTTCTGTTTTACGTTGATAAATTTTATCGGGAAAACTCAGACGGAGCTCAAATTGAATTGAATGATTACGGGTTTTAAGAAATCATTTAATATCCTTGATTTTTTTAACAGTGCTAGATAACAGACCACCCGATAGGGATTTCCTGATGAAAAAACACGGTTTAGTTAAAAACTGCCGATATATATTGTGTCCGGAATTTATGTTCCTTTCAAAAATAAATTACTTTTCCTTCACAATCGGAGGGCATGATCCAGGACCAACAACTGGTTCAGCAGGTATTCCGGCTCTGTGAAAAGCAAAACAAAGTGCAAGGAGGGATTGACATTCACGAAAACACATTAGGTACTTGTCAGGTAATCCAGATAGTATGAAATTCTAAACCACGCCCTAAAATCACATGTTCATAAACAACCAATAAAGTCAAAGTACCAGCTGAGTGACAATCATACAGGAAATTCGGATGGTGCATTTTGTCGAGTAGGGAGTAAATGAAAAGCTAGGGAGGGGGCACTGAGCAGCCGTTTCTTTCTTATCGGGTCTTATCAGCAGTGCAAATCCAATGCTTTCAGTTCTTACTTAAAGTGCTCTGTATAATACACAATGTACCATATGATAAGACTAAATCCTCCAATACTCTCGTGTATAAGGGAAAATTGCTTTTCAATCGCGCTTACAACATATAATCTGGACGACTGTCTATTTTCCTAAATGAAGCTCATCATAGATCCTAAGGGGGAAAACAGTTTCTAGTATATGTTACCTGTTCAATGTTGGGCTCATACAGTTTCTACATAGCTGTCCCAATCTATTTACTGTGCTCAAAACAGAAGAGAGCACGTGGCTACCAAGTCCCAAGCCAACTGAATAATTACCAGCCCGGACGTTCATCCATAGTGGATACCCACCTCAGCATTTCACAGCGCAGATTGTTCAAACGACCTTTGAATTCTTCAGCATTCAAATTCGGTTGTGACCAAAGGCGTTCTGCAACCGCGGCACCTCGAGGCCTGCAGCGAAATGGCAAGATGGGGAGATGAAAGCAGAAGGTAGGAGGAAATGACAAGATAAAGCTGGCTCGTTTTTCATAACCTTCACTCCCAATAGCACCCGAGATCTATCCGCATCCTTCTCGGAATGATAATTCCCTAATAATTTCATCTAACCCTCATTCTATACTCAGTGCACAGGGAATGTTATAGACGTTCTTGGAGTGATATTTGAATCAAAATACTCAGAAAAATAAACGTCTAGTCTTCGTTAATCGATCGCTTTCGTCGATATTTGAATGTTTTGGGAATTGCATTTACCTTCAACAGGTGTAAAAGCTCAAGAAACTCCAGACTCATTCAAAAAATCTTTCCTAATAAGAGAACCGAACCAAAGGTATGAATTTTGCTTACCATGATCTACTGATCAAATTAGTTTCATCCACAAACTCAGCCCACATAGTTGCCTCACCACCGAGAATAAGTTTCACTTGTTCCGGAGTTCCTGTAAGTGGAAAAATTATGGATAATTTCAAACAATAGTTCATTTGATTTATCAGTTTGGGTGGTGATGGTGGCGGCGGCTCCATTGCTGATCAGTATGGATGGTGATGACGATGATGATGATGATGATGATGATGATGATGATGATGATGATGATGATGATGATGATAGCTCGGACAATGACCATGTCAGGTGTTGTCAGATATAACTCACCTCCTATATCGGTCGGATCGCATCGGTATGGTCCAACCCAATCGGTACCGTAACCAATGTAATTCAGATACCAACATGAGGAAAACAAAGCTTTGAAACCGGCAGCAGTAATTCGACGTAGTTCGCCTTTCCAGTCTCCACCCATCCAGGTATGAATTATCGTGTTGTTGTCGGTCTAGTCGCGTTTGAGCATAAATTATTCCACTACATTCTGTCTTAAATAGATTGTAAAGACCAAATAAAAATGAACATTATTCACCCCCAGATTGGTGTGTACCGCGGCACGTACACATCCACATTGAGATGATGTCCTCAATTACTTAATCACAAAACATTTCGCCAATCTTGAATATCGGAACTATAATTAAACCACTAGGGAACTGTTTGAAGAAGGCATATATACCACCAGCACTGAAGATGACCCCCCGTGTTGGTACTTAAACGTTTGTAGAGGGAAACATGATGTGGACCAATCAACCACTTCCACGTCAACCATGTCAAGGTGGAGATTAAATTAACGCTGACTATGTGCAAGATACAGACAATACCTTATATCCATGTTTATAACTATAGCAGCAACCAACTCAGACGTTTAATGGCATCGGTGGAACACCGCCTACGCTTTGGTACAGCGCGCGCTCTATCAGTTGATCATTTATCGTTTCACATTTGGATCACCCACCCGAATAACAGAGACATTTGGAATCCACCAGGTAGAAAGTAAACCGACTTCCGCGGCATATTGTCTTTCGAATGCACTGGAATCCGAGCAGTCATTTGTGAGTAGCCGCTTCCATTCATACGGTTCCTTAGCCGTGAACCAATGTCAATTCATTGCACGCCGATTTCACAAAACAGTTACAGTCAGGTGACTTCAACCACAGCACATCGCACGGCTATTCAGCCTTCCACCACTGAACCAACCAAATCCTCACTGAATGCTCATGATTGTTGCTGATCGATCGTCAGTGGAATAGGTACCAGGCTACAGGGACCAACCATTTCATTTAAACCAGTTTATATCCACATAATGAATGTCTTCCTCAAGAGATAGAATTAAAAAATCCCGGATCTTGCAGTCAGTTTCGNCGGCAGCAGTAATTCGACGTAGTTCGCCTTTCCAGTCTCCACCCATCCAGACATGAATTATCGTGTTGTTGTCGGCCTAATTGCGTTTGAGCATGAATGAATTGTTGGGATATTACAATGAAAGTACAAAATTGGATCACAATTAAACAACATACCAAACGTAAAACTGCACGAATTAGCAAGAAACGGTATGCGCCGTGATGTGAATGTGAGCGGAAGCTGTTTTCATCATCAATTATTCCACTACATTCTGTCTTAAATAGATTGTAAAGACCAAATAAAAATGAACATTATTCACCCCCCGATTGGTGTGTANTTCAAATGATATCTTTAATTACTCAATTATAAAACTTTCGCCAGTCTTGAAAATCGGAACTATAATGAAATCAGCAGGGAACTGTTTGAAGGAGGCATATATACCACCAGCACTGAAGATGATCCCCCGTATTGGTAATGAAACGTTTGTAAAGGGGAACATGATGTGGACCAATCAACCACTTCCACGTACACCATGTCAAGGTGGAGATTAAATTAACGCTGGCTATGTGCAAGATACAGACAATACCTTATATCCATGTTTATAACTATAGCAGCAACCAGCTCAGACGTTTAGTGGCATCAGGCTACAGGGACCAACCATTTCGTTTAAACCAGATTATATCCACATAATGAATGTCTTCCTCAAGAGATAGAGTTAAAAAATCCCGGATTTTGCAGTCAGTTTCGAAGAAGTTGAGGCTACCAATACAGTCCACAGAAGTGTATATGAATTTCATGCAATATCCCTGAGGATAGTGAGGCAAAACAGCAACTGTTTGTTCTCTTTATCCGTCAATGAATATCAGCTTTGACTACACAATACGGTTAGACACATTTGCCACGAAGAATATGGATGACAAAATGGTACATCAAAACGGCTTACTCGATATCCATGGTCAAACACTTCTTGCCACACTACAGGAACCATGCCGGGTTTGGTGGTTACCTTTCGTGTCATGTCAACCACTTGTTTAATGTAGTAACTCTGCAAAGCCGAGAAGTCCCTTCCCATGCCCATATTGTTCATGAATTTCAACACTTCCGGATTGGTTGACCTGCAAATGGGACCAGTTACGCAATGTTTATTTGCAAGCAAGACAATGGACGTCTGATTACATTGAAGAGATTCAATTGAAAATCGTACAACGCGGTTCTCAAGTCCAGCGAACCGAGTTCGAGAAGAATATCAAACGTTCATTTTTTTTATTGCAAACCAATGCAAACCGAAATTAAACATGTTGCTGTCTGTGACGCAATGTTTCCTTGATTGCAATAACTTCAGAGAGCCAATACGGGATAAACTGGAATATATATATTTTACCAGAAGTAGTATATGAATAACTGGACAAAATTTCCCTGAAAGCACACTACCGGTTTCGCGGTTCTTTACGCTCATCAGGTATGCGTATCCGATTTAGTCATTCATATACTACTTATTAAAAATAATATTCACTAAATACGCTTAAGTTGCATTTGTTGCGGCTAGTAATATCTAACCCACCTACAAATCACCCAATTATTTTATCGATTCTTCAATGGACTGGTACTGAAAGAGCTGTCCAAACAAATTTACTCGGCGTTGCAAATGAAGTTATTATGACGAATACATATACAGATATATATGCTTCTAACTTTATCTGAGATCAGCTAAGCACATAGCACGAAATCCGTGATCTAATGCTTACCAACAACGGAAATCAACTTCATCACCACCCAAATGAAGATATTTGTCGGGGAACACATCAGCCAACTCATGAAGCAGCTTCCACATGAAATCGTATGTGCTGTTTCGGGCCGGGTTGAATGGACCGTAGTACTCATTCGGTTTTTCACCCTTGTAACATTCGGTCAATAAACCTGGTTGTCCGCGGCCCCATGATTGAGTGTGTCCTGCAAAAAAACAGACATCAGATTGGTCGCGGTGAATAAACGAATGAATGAACGGACGGACGAACGAATAAAGGGGATTCGCTACTGCTTTTTTATGTAGTTGGAGCAGTTGCCAATCAACAAATCTCGTCAAATTTTGCATATACTCTGCAACACGTCCCATCATGTAATGTGAATTTGGTAACTGGTGTCCTTGACTTCAACCCTAATAACATAATCAAAACGGAGCATATATGATTAGTAATTAAAGACCTTGGTTGATCGTCCATCTACTCTTTCCAACTCTATAATCATTCATGCAATAGTACGTGTTGGTTCATCTCAGTTTCAGACTCTGACACTA